CTTCCTTCTCCCAGCGCCGAGCCACCCGGTCCCGCTCCCACGCGGTGACCGTGACCGACTGGAAAAGCGCTCGACGACCCATTGTGGGAGGAGTCGCCGAGACGCCGACCTTCCCCCGTCATCGGAGAAGAATCACGTGAGTCTTGTGGCAGCTCAGAGTCGGCTGCGGCATCGTTGTTGTTGGAATTGGATTCTTGTAGCAGTTCCTGAAGCCTGGGTCCACCTAAAGGGTGATCCGACCGTCGACGGTAGAACAGGAGGTACGCGGCACTGGTCACGACCGATCTTGGGTCCGTCTTTGATGAGACATGAGAGTCTAGACCGGTCAGCAGCGGATCCGGGAACACGGAATTTGAGTAACTCACCATTGTATTCGTACCAGCTGTTGTTGTAAAAGTTCTTCGCGTACGCCGTGTAATGCCCGCCTCCCAAGCCACCGTAATGGTTATCAACCGCGATCAAGTCATAGATCAAGCTCTTGCCGTCTTGCTGATCTCTCACCATTTCTGAAAGATCAAGCCCTTCTATGGGATAATCAACCTTCACTTCAAGCTTGTCGCGGAAGTTTCTGTTAGAACTGAACCGCTTCAGGTGCATAACAAGGATATCGGGCGCTTTCCATAACTCAAACATTTTATCGGCTCGGCGGTGCTCTTTGCATCGAGGACAATACCAGGCATTCTGTTCAGACAGGGTTTCGGATTTGCCAAATTCGTTCAGACAGTCTACCAATGTGATTCCATGCTTCTTACGGCTGTTTCGCTGCTCACGTTTTGCCGCGGTTTCCGGATCAGGCAAAAGGCCCACGCTCTTCCATGTCGGAAGCCCGCGATAGCCCTCGCTACCGTCCTCACTGCCACCAAATAATGCATCATAGCCGTCTTGGCTCCAGTCAAGGATGATGGCTTCGCCTGGTCGGATAAGATCTCCGGTCTGGGCTTTGGGCAACGGCTGAGGAGGTGGTAAAGGTGATCGACGGTGTTGTGTGCGTCTGGCCGAGAATTTGCCTCTGTTCTTATTTTTGCCGTACTTGTGCGCTTTCTTGTTCCGACTGGGCAGGATCTCTTGGGGTTCTTGAAGCTCGGATTCCGAGTCGGGTCCAGAGGGAAAGACCGGACTGGCCTCCGACCCGGACTCGTTGCTGTCCATAGGAGTGTCATCAGTCTCGATGTCCGCAAGCTCATCCTCACTCTCTGCAGAACCACTCTCGCCATTCGCAAGACCAAGACCACCAGCCGGCTTCACCGACCGAGATACTGGCTTAGGAATTCGATTTTTGATAGACTCATATTCTCCAGTCTCAGAGATTTGATTCCAGCCCGTAGGGATGCCCTCCCCAGTAGAAGTGACCTGAACATCGAAAAGTTGCTGGAATCGGCGGGGAACTGGTGACTTTGACAGCAGTAATTTCTGCAGACCAGCCTCGGTGGACTGGGGCCTGAGCTCAGGAGCTTGACTAGCATCTCGCATGGACACATCTACGAGGCCATCTTCACCCTGCACAGAGGTGGCAATTGGAAGACCCGAGCCAGAACTGGACATGTCATCGGTCATCACCATGGTGTCGGAGCCTTCTGGTGTTCCCAGCCCATCGTCTGAGGGGCTATCCTCTTCGTCATGTATCCTCTTTGTTGTCATCCCCGTAATATTTCCCAGAATTTTCTTCATCACACCGTCGTAGGTGGACCTGTCTTCGCGACTCAGCACAAGGTACGTAGGTTGGCCAAAGAAGGGTTTTGAGGACACCCGCGCAGAAGGATTCTTGACAAGCCGGTTATACATTGGTACTAGGAGCCGGTCTGCCTCAGGGCTGTCTGCTTCAACCATTTCATCGTCTGCATCAGATTTGGTCATGTACAAGCTGAATTTCCGCGCCTTGTTTGGATTGTAATTGGTCGGGACGGATTCCAGCTCGTACATGCAGATGATGTCGCTAGTTTGGATGTTTGCTTCTGAGATGACGACGTAGTTATCAAAAATTTTGTAAATCTTGTTCTTGTAAGACTCGGCAACAAGAAGTCGTTCCACATCGGCATGTGTCCTCAAAGCCACAAATTCCTTCAAGGCTTTGATGGTTGAATGTTTGTCAATGTCTACGTCGATCCGAACTGGTCGTTTGTGGAGCGGAAAGTACAGTATCTCTTTCTGCCAGTTGTTCTCAATGGGCAGTTGCAGAGTTAAATTGTTGAAAGGGTCAAAAATAATGCTGACTTTGTTACAGACCGGGCAGGTCAAGGTCGATTTGTACATTCCCGCAAAAAGATCTGTAACGACAGAGTCATTTCGTGCCTTATAGATTTCCCAGTTCTTCTGAGCGAATGCTTGAAGGGCCGCACTATCGTGCACCATTTCATCCGTGGAGTCCGGTTTTTCGATGTACGGTTTCTTGTGGATGCGGTTCAAGTCTTCCTGAAGGCCGTCAAGAAGGAATAACAGAAACTCCTGAGAGTCTTGTTGTTGATATCCGGAGAAGCTGGACCCATATTTTCCGATTGTGGCCTTGAATCTGCTTGGATTCGTCGAAGAGGCGTTCTCGTCGTAAATCTGGTGCAGCAGGTTGGCATATGCTTTTGCAATCTCGCCATGGTGACCAAGAGGGTTGTCCACGTTAAGGTCCTGCTTCCATTGGTCATGCAGGAAGAACTGCGTCAACTCCTCAACACTGCGGATGCATTGTAAAGCCGAATTCATGTAGCATGTATTTCCCAAGTTGCTGAGTCCGGTGATGCCGCGTGGCCTTCCATCCCGTTTCTGCCGTCCCCTAGTCATCATTCCCGGAGCTGGGCTGGATCTGCCACTAGGGGTGAGGTTTTTAGCTGCGCTCTTAATGCCTTTGGTCAGGTTGAGTTTGGAACTTTCGCTTGGCCATTCGTCCTTGCCAGACTTTTGTTCCTCGAGGACGATCACTTCCTCGTTCCTGCCCAGACCAACAAGGCTCAACGTCAACGTCTTTCCATTGTAATTAGGATTTGTAGTGTTGTCCTTGATCTCGGTGAGGAGCTCACGGTGCTCGCCTATTTGAAGATGTATGAAGGTGTTGACATCAAGGAGCATTTTATCTCCCGCGGTGGCCACAATTTCAGCACCAGGGGCTGGAGAGACACTTCTGGAAGCGGAGGGAGTGAGACCACCCGAAGCGGTGGCATTTTTCAGGCCTCCCAGGATCCTCCACACTCTGACTTTGGTGTTCATGTCGACGTGCAGGAGCCTCTTGCCCTCCTTGAGCCAGTCATTGCACAGCGTCTTCTTGCTTGCAATCATACGTTGAGGTGGGAGGTCCTTCTCGCGTTGAGTCTGTGTGGTGTGCTCACTAGGCACCTTGAGGAATGAAAACAGTGGCGGATTCAGCTCCCACGTCACGTTCGGCATTGCTGCGTCTGCACCACCCCAATCGTGTGCATATCTAGTGATGACAGGGGAGTCTTTTGCGAGCCCGTACCATGAGATTATCAAGTCCCATGCTTCCTGGGGAAAGACTCGATAGTCCTCATCGAGCGTGAGGCCGGGCCGGAGGGGCACATATTTCTCGCCAGCTTCATCCGTCAACTTGACATCCTCGTCAATCACCATGGCAATGTCCGAATTGTCAACGGGTCCAATTTCACCCTCTGTCGCTGATTTTTCAATCTTTCCCACGCCAGCGGGAAGAGAGCCACGGGCTTGGACTTTCTGAAACCATTTTGCAGAGATGAGGTAACCTTTTTGGCCTTCTTCCAGCTCTTTCTGCCACAGTGCCGTCACTTGTGCGATTTGGTCGTCGATGGAGGGTATGGACGTAGCAGTGGATGGGACATCAGCGTCCAGCGACGTGGCCGCGGTAGAACGGTTAGAGGGGCTAGGGAAGAGGGAATCTGTGGTAGAACTGCCACTATTATCAGACAAAGAAGCCGCGGCGCTTTGTTGGACAGCGCGAGGATCACTGTTGTGAATCAGTCGATTCGTCGCTAATATGTCGCGATGTCTCGAGCCCGTGTCTTGCTGCTTTGCCTTTAGGGTGTCTTGAGAACCTGCAGGCACAGTGTCTGGGTTGACGGGAGTGAACCCGGACCCAGAGCCTGGTATTTGACCCTCGCCCATTTCTACGTCACTGTTGTAGGACTCTCTATCCTGGGCCCCCATATCAGACGCCGGCCTCTTAACAGCAGGGGAAGCGGAGCGCAGGTGCCTGCCTAAATCATCCTTGGATTGCGAGAGGTTTTGGTTTTGGTGATTGGGGTGTTTTTGGGAGGAAGCGGGCATGTCCCGGGCGGGAGTGCTCGGAGGGATAGGTGGTGAGGAGGTCCAGGTTCGTGACTTACGCCAGGACCATGGACTAGAGGGAGCAACAGGGCGGAAGGCTGACTGTCGAAATAACGAACGTGTCGAAGATGAGGGTCTGAAAATGACGCCCACGCAGAATGTGAGGGCCAGAGTCGGTCGCAAGTGGGTACCAGACTACCTCACTGGCTGGCGGTTTGCCTGCGCTAAGAAAATGCACGGCTTGGGTGAGGCAGTCACTGCGGTGAAGAGCTTGACGGTAATAAAATGGCACTCCGAATGTCGCAGCCACGACTGAACGGCGGAATCACAAAGAGGGGTGGTGGATGGGTCCAGAAACCATCTCGCTCATCCAAACAGAGGTTGATTTTCGGTTGGCAGGTCCTGTCTTCTGAAAGGACAATTCATTCACCCTTTTTGAGAGTCTATGAGCCGAGCCGCCGGCCAGAATCATGCGAACCTTCGCCTCACCATCAAATCCAAAGTAAACAGCCACCCTTCCGCTCCCCTTTGGGAGTCCTATTAATCATCCCAGCTCGGGAATACAATCATGTGCTTGGGCTGTTATACTAGTGAGCCACGCGTAATGCAGTCATTTTGTTCGCTTGCATCATCCCTCCTGATTAAACAAGGCCGACATGGCAGCAACGAGGCTTCCCACCGCCTCACTGGTAGCCTTGTGCCCGCTCGTAGCCATTATTCCGCGCTGGATAGCTTCATGGAACAACCAAGAGCTTTTCGGCTCATCTCGTGACAATCTTATCCACCTCATCCATCGCCTCCGACCACGTCTCTAGATTCTTCCGGGCCCATTCGATATGGCATCGCGCATACGCAACCTAGGAGATCGTAAAAGTTAGCTTGGTAAACCATATGCCTACATCAGACACCAGCAATTGTTCTCGGGAAATACGCACCATATATCTCTGGAGGTCGTCCTCTTTCTCCTTCTGGAACCTCTTTAGGTCTCGCATCACTCCCTGAGTTGCGTCGTGTACGTCCTTCTCCGACACTTCTAGAGCCTGTTCCAGCTGAGACAGGCTTTCTCGTGTTTTCCCGATCTGATCCCGCCTTGTCCTCTCCGGGTCAACATCCACGAAGCCATTCACGGCATGTCTGAAGCTGCCAAATATCTTGTTGGTCACGAAGTTGCCGCTGGGAGACTTCTTGTGCGTTATCGGCGATGTAGGATTCTGGTGCGGCTGTCCTTGAGCAGCCGAAGGAGGCGATGATGGAGGCTCGCCATGGGTAGGTGGAAAGTCAGAATCAACAGATTCAGTCTCTTCGTGCTGCCCCTCCCTCCTCTCCTGGGAAGCCCTGACAGAAGCATTCGACATCGAGCGCCGCGGTGGGTTTGCTAGCGTTGTGCTACCGGCTAGATATGCATCGATGCGTTTCGCTTCTGACTCGCTGCGCTCGAGCTGATCCAAGAGATGCCGTTTCTTCTCCAAATCCTCTCTCGTCATCTCTTGCTGCACTCGTTTCAGGACTCTATATTTCAGCACATTGCGGACGACACCCGCAAATTGTGCACTCTCCCTCATGGGCTCGGCAAACGTGGCGCCAAAAGTAAGTGCTAGCTCCTCCGTGGAGATATACGTGCTGTCCACGGCCTGCCCTATGCGCTCAATTGCTGCTGCCACAGTAGGTGACTGCTCGGAGAGTGAGAAGCCATTGTACCGAGCGCCCAACTCTGCAAGATCCGCTGAAAGCTTTGTTAGATGCTCGATAGTGCGGCGGTTTACCTTTTCGATACTGCCTTGCAGCAAAATCTCTAGTTCCCGCGTGTTCTGCTCGAAGTTGATAAAGTAGGGGTCAAGGTCAGTTTCGCTCAGTCGCTCCGAATTGATGGGGAACCGCCCAAAGATCTGAGGACCGGGTGTCGTATGTGATGCAACTGAGGGGAAGGTCTGATCCGGCGGAGATATAGGCGTTCCAGTGCTTGAGATCGGCCCATATGGCCTGAGTTTGGCAGAGGAAGATGGGATAGGCAGCCAGTTGTGAGCAGGTGTCGGATTCGCAGGATCCAGAGGTGGTGCTTTCAGATTATTCTTTGGCACTGAAGCGACTGGATGGGCGTGCAAGACTTCGTTCTGCGCAGAAAGATCAGCGTCCTAGTAGCTGAAACAGATAATATGGCCTGCTATTACCCAGCTGGAATTGGGATCCAGGAATCTCCACCAAACGCCGTCTTCAACGACCTCCTTCATTCTCCGGCAACGGTTCAAGAACACGGCAAGCATACGTTTTCGCTGGTCGATAATGCCCACGTCTTCCTTTGCCTTGGTGGGTTTGGCGGCATAGTCTGCCATCGTGTGTTTCTCGGGGATCGGAGGAATGATTAAGGTGGGATGCAGATTGATCAGGGCGGCGCGCAGTGAGCTGAACTCTGAGTATCTCCTCGCGACTTCAATGTCCTGCAACATCTGTCAGACACCCATTCAGCTGTCTCCAAGTCCTGCGGGATGTGCCTACTCCAGTCCGAATCTTGTACACAATGTAGCCTCCATCCGCGCTTTTGCCTGCTTCTGTTATGACAATCTCAAGATCCGGTTGTTCATAGAGTATCTGCTGGACTCTACTGTCGTAGCCACCCTTAGGAGGGACGAACCCGCTTTCTGCCGGTCCCTCCTCTTCCTCCTCCCCCTCATCGCCATCAGCGTGGAATTGGGAGGCTGGGTTAGAGGACGTAGAATATGAGGTCGGTGAGGTCGGTTGGTCTGAGTCTGGGTCTAGAATGTTAGCGACCAGATCGGATAGGCTCGAAGCAGGCTCGCATACAAGAGATACCTAGAGTTGGATTGGAGGGTTCAGTGGCAGAGTCCTGGTTATTAAAGGACCCATATGGGTTGTTGTCCTCGTCATCCTGCCACATCTTATGCTGACATGCGACGAAGAGGCTATGGAGGGGGACTGAGTTCTGAAGACTAGACAAGAAGAAAGTCCCAAGGCTTATCGTAGAGGTTCCATGATTCAAATACAATGGCAAGTGACAAGGCACACCTTCAATTGTTGGAGGAACTTGGGACGTTAGATGCACTCTCACCCGCCTAGCCACGTCATTGGTTGGTCTCTCACTGCGCAGCTCAGTCCAAGCCACTATGGATAATGTAGCTTCAATGAACTCCGCAAACTTCTCCCGTCGTTTGATCACCCTACCAGGTGCACACACGACACACCTGCTAGACCTCAAGCACTTAATGAGCCCAACGAGCTTTCCGCAGCAGTGGCTGGTCTCGCTAGCTGGCTGCAAAACCAGTCCTTCTCTGCAAGTGCACCTTCACGCCCTCAAATTTGCTAGATAGCCAGTCGTCCCTCAACGTCGTCGGTGATCGCAACACGCTTTGGGTGCTCGCGGGTACGTGAATGGGGCTCCTGGTCCCCTTAAACACTTTCTACACCCTCTCTATTGTTGAAGTTGATGCGTCTCTTCTCGTCCATGGTACAGCCAACCACGTCGTTGCCCATCTTGGTTTCCAACCTCTGCCGCCACCACCGCCCCTGATCCCAACACCGTACCCATGGCCATAGCCATACTGGTATGGTGCAATCTGTCCGTTCACGGTTATTGAATGTAGAGATCGTTCAGAGGCACTCTTCCACTCACCGGCTGCGCCATTGTCGCTGAGTGTGGCCACGCATGCGCGAACCACCACTTCCCGTTTGCCTTTTTTCGGACACACCAGAAGATCATGGCAAAAATGAGGATAGCCCCAAGGACCACGCCTACAATCATACCCGCCTTTTCACCCGTGCTCCATTGATCCCAACCGCTGTTGTCAGGGTCAACCACGTAGACTAACAGGCCCGAAACCCCGGTATGTGTCGGATTTGGCCGAGGAGAATCTGAAATGGGAATGACCCAGGTTGAATAGATGTTTCCTGCATCATCTTGAAGGTAGATGTCTAGCTCGGTCAGGGTTACCGTCGATGTCTGCGTGGTTGTTGTCGGTATAGGCGTGTACTTCGTGGTGGCGGGCGCAGTGGCAGTGGTTGTGGAAGGTGAGGCAAGTGAATCAATTGTGACGGTTTGGCCAACTGTTGCAAAGAGAGTCGTGGACAAATGAGAAGTCACGGTAGTGGTAGTGTCGGTGATGAGTGTTGACGAGACCACGACCGCCGTGGTCATGGTCTCTGTGACTGTTGAAATGATGAAAGTCATGTTTGAATTTTTGACTCTGACTACATTACAGAAGACTAGGAGGAGGGAGACATTGATCGGAGAAGACGGTACAGAGAATGAAGTTGGTCAAGAAGATCGCAGCCGGTGGAGTGATCAGCCAGCGGTGAAGGGTGAGTTCGAAGTGCCCTTCCTGGTCATTTCATTGTATTTGGTCTGGTTCTTCTCCGCGTGATAGCACCACAATAAGTCGAGTCTCCAATCTGCTACCTTCAAGATCCAAGCAGACAACGAAGTCGTAGCAGATCAAAAGCTGTCCGTGGCCGAACTCCCAGATTGTGTGCGCTGCACCTCCATACGCATACGCGCCATGTCCACACATGGAGATCTCTTCCATGAAAATCTGCCTCTGACTCGGACGTTCGAGTGAAGACCAACAATCAACCTGATCCGACGGCTTGCGGTTGTCCTTCTGCGGCTCTTCGTTCACCTTCCTCCAACATGGCCAAGTGTTCCTGCATCATCGGCATGAAGAGTTTCCATCCTCCCCAGACACAGATTGGCGTAATCACCACGAAGCATATCAAGATTGCTAGGCCTGCGTTCATATTCTCCGGTCGGACCGATAAACGATTCAATTATGGTTGAGCCAGGAATGGTGATGCCTAGTCGTTGAGATCAGCCCTGTTGTTAAGAGGAAGGAGAAGATATGTGACATACGAATCTTTTCGAGGGTTCAGAAAGCACACGAGTGCTAGAAGTCGAAGGTTGAGCACCCAAGCAGTGTGTTATATGGATGAGCAAGGGCAGTGGCGTCGGCACGTTCGAGTTACACAGATCGTTTGTCCATGGATGAACATCAAATTGGTGGCTGCACGCTGCCAAAATGGTGTTTGTGATTCACTCTCCTCGCAACGCGCGTTCGACCGCACCCAACATTACCGGATTGACCCGTGAAGTCCTGCATATTCCCTGGATTTTCTCTAGAGTTGCCCGCATTTGTTGTGTCTCCAAGACCTGAATGAGAACTCCAGCCAAGCTGACCACCTGAACCATCAAGACCAGGACTGTGTGGTCATAGGTTACCCCTAGTGGATGCAGAAACAACGGCTCGAGAAGTGGATCGAAAGGCGTGTCCTTGTGCGTGATGTCTTCCGGTCCAAGGTGTATGATTCGGTCAGCTTCAAGGACTTGAAGTACTTGCTCCAGACCCTCCAGTGTCCATTTCATCACTGACCTTGACAGATCCCGAGTCTGAAACGAATAATTTCCATCATGTAGTATCTCTGTCCATTCCTTAATCTCACGAATATCGTCCATGTACAGGTTCTGTCTTTCCTCGGCAAACAAATCATTCTTCGATTTCGAGATGCTCTGCAGTCTCGAACTTAATGAGGTATCGAAGAAAGGAAGTGGTCCGACATGAGAAGAGGAGTCGCTAGGGATCTGTCCGATGCTCATGATTTTGACAATGGCAGCTTCACTAAGACTCGATGTCTGCCCGAATTGGCGTGAAAGTTCAGACAGCAGGCTTTCCCTTGCTGCAAGGGCGCTGCTGCCCACATTGTCGTTTGCACTCAGCTGTTGTAACTGGAGGCCACGAGCCGCATGAGTTGCTTCGAACCGGATTTCATCATCGTCATCGTTCAACAGATCATACAAGACCAGGAGAAGCCTCATCCTAAAACTAGATCGGAGCTCCAATGCGCCGACAGGTTGCAGACGTTCGATGTAGGTGGAAATTGCTGTTATAGCACTCAATCTTGTGGAATAGTCGAAATAGTCGGTCGAAATGTCTTGAAGATCGTGGAGCCATGCTTCGAGGTATTCTGTCTCCGTAAAGGAACCAGCAGGTGCAGTATGCATTCTTCCCAACAATGACGCTTGTAGTTTCAGGGTTGCATTCCTTAAATCCCGCGTTGTATGTATTTGGGACAAGTCCAGGCCGTAGTAAAGTGTTCTTAGGACATCGATGGATATGTCCGTAATATAATTCAGGCATTGCTCCAAACATATGAACATCTGCTCAAGAATGGCCGGCGGAAGAAACGAATGCTGGCTTCTGTCCTCGACAAGACAGATAAGAAGATCGAGGAAAATCCGGGGTGGATTATGACCATGCTTTTGACTCAGGACGTCCAGGACGAAACCCAGAGCATCAATGTTCTCTAAGAACTGACTGGCCAAATTCCGTACTTCTTTGCTTCTGCTGTCGAGATTCTGGTCTCTTGTGAGGATGTGATAGGTTTTGCAAAGCAGTATCCGCCCAGATAAGTACGCATAATGCGCAGGATCAATCTGTGCAGCGCGCGGAAAGTGCCCTTGTAAGCGTTGGATGCCACGTACATCACTTGCCCACTGATTTTCAAGAACACAGGAAGCGGCATCGCTCAACAAATCCAACCATGCAGCACAGACGTATGGTGAGTGGGGAACTAGGCCCTCATTCGAAGATACCATCGGGTCGATGAGGTACTCGAGGATGGACTCGAGCTCCGCGCACGTAATAGCGCCTGTAGCTCGCCTCATTAGGTAGCGACAGCAAAGTAGAATTCCGTGTACTTGATTCTCCGGACCAGACAGACCGATTTCCATTAGAAGTTTTTTGATTTCTGCAGCTGGATTGCCGCGGAGTATGCCGGTTGCAAGTAGGAGAGCTGCACGATCCCTAACAGGCCATGTCGAGTGCATCAAGTGTTTCGTGACAAGCTGCGCTGCTTCGTCCGCTTCGGAACCTTCGAAGATTGTATGTCCGAGAAGGTCGAGGCCTGCGAAAACGAGTTCTGTGTCACTCTTTTTCCCATCTTTGTTGATGTCGGATGCCGATGCATCAAAGAGACGGAGTGCTATTGTTAATGGGGCACTATTTTCCCCTTTCTCGTTGGATCGATCCGTCGACGCAACTACTTCGCCCATGCTTGAGGTATCAAGACGGTTGATACAAGCACGCAGAAGCATCAGGCCACAGTTACGGATTGCCCAGACTTTGGACGACAGGCAAGTTGCAGCAAGCTCCATCATTCTCTCGAGATGTTGAACAACGACAACCGCGAATTTAGAGTTGGTCATGATCTCTTTCAGACAGTTCAAAGCGTGGACTTGCGGCAGTTTCACGTCGTCGATATCGAGGTTCAGGGATCCATCTATTGCTCGCTCCGCAATAACCATCAGGTCGTTAACCGCGGAAGAAAGATAGTCTAAGTCGACAGGGCTGAGGAGCGCCGCGATCATTGCAGGGAGGCCAGCAGAACGGCGTGTCAACCGATTTGCTTGCTCGTTGATTTGATTCAAGGCAATCTGTAACCATGAGCTTCTCCAGGTTTATGACAAGGCATTTGACGTACCACTTACCTGATACCACTTGTGGATGAGACCACGAACATCTGGTTCGGCGGACAGCCTGACTTTATCGCAACATTGACTGAAGGTCTGAGCAACTGTTGAGAAAGCTCCTCGATGCCGGAGCGAAATCAATTGATCCATGCAAAGACCCCCGACAGCAGAACACAGCTCCTGGGAGAGCGTCGAAACGAGAATCAACGATTGAAGGACGAGACTACTGATATCAGCCGTGATATTCATTATTGGAAACAAAACTCACCTCGAATCTCTGAGTGCCCTCCATGAATAAGCCAGAAGATCCTTTGGCCCTTCATTGGCCATTTCATCCTCGGGTTCGAAGGCGGTCTCTGGAGAATCAACACAAAGCTGGTGTCGCACTTGTTCCCAGACGTTCTCACAGACCCGGACAATCG